AGCGTGTCAGATTTACTAATTGCAACTCATCCATGACCATGATTGATTTCACCGTCCAGAATGATAGTCCTGCAAACTGAATCAGTGCTGAAGATCATGCACGCTGGCATGTTAAAAACGGTTTACCATATTAAAACCCCCCCATGGTTGAGTATTTGCATTTAATCGATGTAAGATCGTATACTGTTGCAGGGTTTCCTGTGTAATTTGTATTATGAATTCCATATTATTCATAAGTCAGCATAAACACAAGTGCCTGTGCACACACACACACACACTTACACACAATAACGTAAAGCACAAGAAATAAAAGGTGAAGAGACTCATTAGCTCCACCAAGAAGGTCATGTTTACACCTGTCTGTCTGTTTGTAAGTGAGATTACACAAGAAATCCTCGACCGATTCCTGTGAAACTTGGTGGAAGGATGTGGAATGAGTCTGAGAAAATCCCATCATTTTATTTAACTTTCTTGTACCCTGCGTTTTTCAACACTTCTCTTGATTTCGCAGACTGATTTTTTGAACTTGATGAAAAAATGTGGCATTTGTACGGGACATTTGGTGTAGATCCAAAAAAAAATCCAGATCTAGTGAATTTAAATGTGGTTCAATAGGGGAAGGAGGTTATCAGCAATTACGCATTACTGTCTCCATGTTCAAACAAATAAATGTTCACATCACTCCTCTGTGATACATCATAATATGATACATGGTATAGAAATTTACTTTTCAAGATTGATTCATATTCATTTATTCAATAAGTATCTTCTAAACGTCTTCTTTAACTTCTCCGTAAGTTGTCTTTATGTCTGCTCAGTTTTCCGTCTTCCTCTGCCGTCTCCGTTTTTATAAGAAACAATCATATGAATTATGGATCACGTCCTTGAGCTTAGTCTTCCAAGAGAGAGCGAGTATAAAGTCTTGAGAAAGTCTGCGGGAGAGCCCTCATCCGTTTCCGCTACAGATTTAATGGTGGGCCCGCCCCGAGCTGTCGTGGACTTACGAGAACCCTGCATCAAAGTGTGTGAGTCTGTGACACTGGGCGAGAGACACTTTGAAGGAACAGAAAGAGAGAGAGGGATGTGGAAGGAAGGATGCATTTCAGTGATGGACACGTGCACACACACACACACACTCAGCACACACACACACACACCATGTAAAATTGATTATTACAACTCGCACATTAGCATGATTGATGTCACCCAACAGAATGAGATTGACATGTCCTCCAAACGGAATAAACATCTTTGGAAACATTATTTACAGTGAGACACTTGCATGCTAAATATGTTTCACCATATTTAAACTTCAAAAAACATGCATGGCAGTGAATCCTCTCTAACCTGCACGTTAAATCCCACAAGAGTATTTTTAGGAGCAATAAAGGCAACTGTGTGTTTTGCTCATCCTTGCTTCGTCAAATGGACGCGAATAAAACAACACACAACGTGACAAATTTCGATGGAGTCAAGGAAATGGCGAACATATGGGAGAGAAAAGACAGATGTCAAACACACTTGAGTCACAAATGATCAGATTCTTCACACATGATTTCCAACATAATTAGGTAGATTAAGTTTTATAGATGTGTTGCCGTGCAAATTCTTAATTATGATAATGTATTGCAGGATACTGTGAGTTGGTTTATATATATATATGGATATTTCTTGCACGTATGTTCTGCTGCAGGTTGTGAAAAGGCTGCAACACATTGTCGACACTCGAGTTGATGGGCCCGCCCTTTGATCGTTGTAACTTTAATCACGCTCATATTCTCAGATTGCAGAGCACAAATGATATGGAGCTTTATATCTGCCTGTTTAAAGGGAGTATGACGAGGTGTTCAATCATCCCTATTCATCATTCTTATTCAACACACACACACACACACACACACACATCTGTGATACTTAATGATGTGATTTAATGGTATAGAATATTTAGTTGAATAGAAGAAATCTGCAGCCAAACACCAGCAACACATATTAAAACGAGTGTGTTATAATAACAGCCGACAAAATAAAATTCAGTCCACGTCTGCACTCTGCGATGAGTTTTCCTATAATTATACAATCTGAACAAAGAATATGAGGTTAGTTTCTGTGTGAAATTGTGTGAGGATGATGAAACACTTCAGGTGAAATTTGCACAGCCGACAGAAGAGTGAGCTGCGTAAATGGATGTTTTAACCTTCTGTTAATATAAAACAGCTACGACTGAACCTCTCCTTTCACCAGAGGCTGTGCTGGGAGACACGATATTCCAATTATCACAATGTACACGACACATGACTCTGGGTGAGTGAGAAGCTTTAACCCTTCAGCGCTAAGACAACAAAAGTTAATGTAAAACATATGAATGACACACATTTTGTTTGTTGTCGCTCTCCTCTGGACCAGTGGTGAACAGTGTAACGTATGTTCTTGTCCCTTATTTTTTCCGCTTGCAGTCATATTCCCTTGTGCTCAAACTGTGCACATGCTTTTAGATATTTTGTTGTTTGGACTGGTTGCCAGCGCTCCAGCGTCAGCTCGTCTCCTCTCGTCTCATTGTCAGCGTGTTCGCTTTCCTTTCGATGAGAAGCCACTGACGCAATCAAGCAACCAAACAAACTACACCTGTCATCTGGAAAATTTGAAAGACTTGTTGCACAAAAGAATCTAAGCACAGAAGAAAAAATCCAAGAGCAGAGGAAAGATCTGAGAACAGATTTTTCAGAAAAAGCTTGAGCTTGAGAAGAGCTGGAAATCTGTCGCACAGTTTGAGCACAAGCAGAGCAAATCTAAGCATAAGTGTGAGCGCAGGGGTTTGAGGGAAAGCATTACACAATCTGAAGCCATATAATGTAATTAAATAGGGAACCTTGTGTTTTAGTGAACCAAACAATTCAACTTTCCTTTTATCGAGATTATCGTCTATTAAATGGTAAATATGCTACAGAGGCTCTTGTGATTGTTTGTCATTACAGTATGTTCCTTCATTACCTGGTGGATTTAAATATTATGCAACACATAAGAAATAAATATGTACATGAGTCATCTCTCACAAGCAAAGGGATAATAGGATGCTGCTGTTTCTTGTTGTAATTTTCTCCGCGCCTCAACAAATTGTTTTTTGTGTTTTCGTCAGATGTTTCCTCAAACGTGGAGAAAAGAGAAGTGTAGCGAGCGGGTACAAAAAAAAAAAAGCATCTCTGGTTTTCAGGGCCATTTGTAGTTTCTCTTCTTCAGTGACCCAGCTTCTGGTGGTTTGTATATTTAATTATAGTACAACTCTTTAAATGCTCATTGCCCATTTTTAATTGAAAGTTTATTATTGGTACAGTATCTTTAGCAGCAGTAGCAATATTTTGTTCCAGCTTTTCTGAAAACGCTTCTGATGTCTTCATGTTTCCTTAAAGGGCACAAAGAGGATTAAGTGTATGTGGATGTATGATATTTAATAACTGAGGTTTTTTGAGGGGAAATAGCTAAATGACCTTTTGTTTTTTTGGTTTGAGATTTCTTACCAGTGATGCAGTAAAAGAGCAACAGAGACAGTTCACTGGAGGATGCATTCAGAGACTGAACAATGACAGGCTCATATGTGGTATCATGTTGACCGTGCATGTGTTTTGTGAAGATTTGATTAATTTCAAATGTGTGATGATAAAGCTCTTTAACCTGGATTTGTACTGTTCACTAATCCTGAGGCCCTATCTCATGGAAGGACACAAAAATAACTTAAAGTCTAATGCGCATGCTAACAAATAAACACACAAATACACAACAATGGCAGCATGCTGTCCCGATCAGAGTGTGTTACCATGGTCCTTTAAGACAAAGTATGGTGCTGACCTGATGGTGATGCTGCATGAAAACTCAGAGGATCACCAAAGTTATCACGATTCCATCAGTGGAGACATTTCACTTAAAACCTCAAGGTGGAACAAGGTTGAGATGATCATGCATCTGACTAATACATCCATTAAACTATTTTTATATGTTGTGCTGACATGATGCATGTTCCTTAATTACCTCCACCAACAGGATAACACAAAAACCACTGAGCAGATTTCTGTGAAACTTGGAAAAATTGGACATGGACCAAGAAAGAACCCATTCAACTTTGGTGTGGATCAATGCAAAGGGGCAGTTCTGGGATTTTCTTTAAAATCTCACAGATTGTCCAAAAATCTGACATATTTAGAGGACTGGTGGAAGTATGTGCTTCTCTGAGCCATTCTAGTTTATTTGTATTTTGTTTTACACTTTGTTTGCATGTACATAATACATGCACAGTGCACTGCCATGGCTTGGGGGGAACATCAAGACCACTTCTGATTTCTGCCCCCGAGGCCCCTAAAGTCTGTAGCGTGGCACTGGACTAACTGAGTCGCATGTTTGGACACAGGAGCCACCAACACATGAGAAGTTGTGATGATGAAGATGAGCATCAGGATCAGGTTAACACTTAGATTCAGAGCTACAATGAATAACAAACTGTAGCCTGCAGCAAGTCATAAAACATTCCCTTTTGTTTTAGGGGAAAATAAAAGATTAATTCATTCAGCTTCACTTCCTATTGCTCCTCTTTTTTAGTCCGGATACTAAAAAAGAATTTGGGTTTACACCGTGAGAGGCAAGTCACCCCCACTTAACACTGACACGTCTCCCATTGTCACACAACGACAACAGAGCAGCGCTGACTAATCGCGTTTAACGTCTTCGCTCTTAATCCTTTGAGACGCGTAAATTACGCACGACGCGCGTCATGGATTGACAAGTGTCCGAGTGGGCTGAGTGGGCGCTGAGCACCCCCACCTCCCCACTTTGCCTCCTCTTCCTCCTCCCTCCCTTTTCCTTGAATCACTCTGTCCAGAAAGACAAACTCATCCACTCTCACTTTCCGTGTGTGCGTCAAAGAGCGGTCTCTGCCGCTCGGGACTAAAGAGCACGCAGCAGCTTTCATTTTCCAGTGCTCGCTCGATCGGTCGGGAGGGAAGGAGGGAGGAAGGAAGGAGGAGAGCTCGGGCTGTTTGCAGCAGGGATACCACCTCTGATGGACGTCATATAGGAGCAGATAACACTCGTATCTAATTGTTTCTGCTATTGGCGACAGTTACGCATGCGAGTGCGAGTTTCGTGGGGAGCAAACTTGCAAACGCGTCTTGGTGCACCACCGGTTTTAATGTGTTTTATGTGTCTGCGCTCGACAGTGAGGTAGACTTGTCCTGGCACGGTTTTCGTTTTACCGGCGTGGGGTCGAGCCCGTGGATGCAGGTGCCGGGGGTCGGTGCGTGAGCCCCGCAGGATCAACCTGTCATAGGGGGGCGACCATGGTTCCTCCAGCTGTTCCCAAGTGGATGAGGAATATTTCTGCGGAGATGCTGCTGCTGCTGCTGGTGCAGATTCTGTGGCTTTTACCTGAGACCGGAGCGGCTCCTTCTCTGAGCTCAGAGCAGCTGGACACAGGGGTGGTAAGTTTCACACCTTTCCTTCACAAGTTTTTCTTCTACTATCAGTTTTGGACACGATTGGAGGGAAGTTGATCCACTTGGTGTCCAATTGGGCGCATGGGATGTGAGTCTCTAGCCTACCTCTCCATCAGAAAGCGCAGTTTCCCTTACTTTTCGTGCTCGGAGGCGGACTTGACTTGAATGTTAACACCTCCAGTGCACGGCTGAGCCCGGCGTTGCAGGCGGCATGTGATGGGCAAATTAAAACAGGAATCCCTGTGGTGGCTGCAATGCAATAAATGAATAAATGTATTTTGCCTCGGCGGAATATCGACCTGCTCCACTACTCAGCTGCTGACATTGTATGTGCGCTGCGCTGATGAATGGCAAACCAGGCTCAGTCACTGCCAGCACAGTGACACACACACACACACACACACACGACGAGGACGACATTGCTCCAATATATCTATTGTCAAGTTTAAACAGTCACTTGGTTTAAAATAGGATGTTGGCTGAAAATGAGCAGATGATCCAAGAAGATAGATAGACAGACAGATAGATAGATAGATAGATAGATTGACAGATGGATAGATAGATTGACAGATGGATAGATAGATAGATGATAGATAGGTCAAGAGATATGTACTTTATTGATCCCAATAAACATGTTGTATGGCAATTGATCATATTTTGCGATAACTGCTGATAATGTTTTACCTGATGTCAACACCAAAAGGGTGTGAGCTGTGAAAATAGTCGTTTTTAACCAATTCATTCTAGCAGTAAACAATAATTATGAAAACTTGGCACATAGAAATACATTTGTAGGATATTGATGTAATTTGTGAAGCTTTACAGTAGTTTAAAACAACTGGAATCTTTCTAACCCTTCCAATTAACTGCATCCGAGCAAGAAATGAAGCTGTTCCAAAACAAAATGTGTCATCTGTAGTTTTAATGAGCAAAGCACCTGCAGATAAAATATGTATTAATTAGGCACAACGTCTTAATTAACTGTTTGGCTGTCAACACAAGTTCCTCATTTGCTTGCAGATTTTCTCCACATTTTTTGCTGAGGTGAACTGGTCACATCCACATCTATCTATCTATCTATCTATCCATCCATCCATCCATCCATCCATCTTTTTATTTCTCTACCACTTCCATTGTCTCCCCAGTGGTTGTGTTGCTGCCTGCAGACATCTACTCATCTCCTCTGTCGTACTTGAATACACTCAGCTGCCGACACCGTCCTCCCCTCCTGCTTATTGGGGACAGTCACATGGTTTTGTGTCGGAGCCTCTGAGTGCACGGAGACGAGCACTGATGCATCTACAAATGTCATCAGGAAGCGGTTACGATGTGCAAAGACGTATGAGTGTGGAAGATGACGAGGTGAAAGGGCAACGTCTGCGGGGCGAGCTGGTGGAGTGTGCAGCAGATTAGCTCATTTGAATAAAAGGATTATTGTAGCATTAGTCAAATACAAGTTAGATCCACAGCCTCAAATCTGCTGCCAAATATATTTGATACATTTCCTCATCATTTAAGTCTGTTGTTTTTGCACTGAAGATCCAACATGTTGGGCGGACGGCTCCGTATGAGCCGGTGCTTGGTCAGGCAATCCTTAAAGCTGCCTTGATACTATGTCATCCCTTATCGAGCTGTGCTAGAGAGTGTGAGTAAACACTTGGCATCTTTCCTGTGCAGCAGAAACAGAAGCTGTTTTCAAACATGCTCTGAAGTCCGCACTTTTCCTGAAGCGTTGTGAAGCGGCTGTATGTGAGAACACAAATGTCAGTTTTTTTGTAACCAGTTCTTTAGAAAAATCCGAGTGAGAAGACGGCAAGAAAAACTAATATGAACTATGAAATATGAACCTGAAAGAATACAAATGTCTCCAGAACGTGTCCGACTCGGACAATCTCCTGTTGCTTCTTCATATGTGAAAGACAAACTTCGGAAAAGGCCCAGAAACAAATATTCTACTCCATGTGACAGAAACCAAAACAATAGGCTGCAAAAGGCTTAAAGCTGCAGAGAGCTGGAAATCATTTGATCCTGTGTTCCAATTCATTGCTTAATGCAGGTTTAAATATAACAGATGTGTTTTCACGGCTCCATTTTTAAAAATGACAGATTAGCAAATGTTACCTTTTCACATTCATTTTGGCTTTTCAGCTAAATTTAGCCCTGAAGGCACATCTTTCAAATTGCAAATCTGTCTCAGCATTTTTGCAATTTTGAAAACGGAATTTGATAGTTGCCCGCAACTAATGAGTATTTTCATTAGTGGCTAATCTGCCAATGATTTCCTTGAATAATAATTTTATAATGAAAAATGGTCACACCCAAGGTGAAGTCTATTTTCAGCTCCGATAAGACGACTCAATAAAAGCGTGTGTGTGTTTTTGATCAAAAACCTTCAACTCATTATTCTTCCTCAGATCGAATGGCATCGTAAACCACAGTCTTAAAAAAGGTCACAACAAAGGCGGACGCAGGTTTTTTTTTTAGGGTACTGATGAAACTGGATGGGCAGACAGATGAGCACCGGCGTCCCCTGTGTCCTGCTGATTGACTTTTAAATAAGACTTCTCCTGCATTGATGAAAACGCTCTCAGCTGCAGAGAGCAGGTGGATAATTTGTTGTTGAGGCTTTTGTGTGGATTCTCCCCCATCTCAGCCTCGTGTTCATAACACCGATACGTCTGGGACCTAAACCACAAAAACAACCATCTACCCGTCGGCTCGTGTCCTGATCTCCAGCCCCGCTGCTCCAGAGTCCCATCACACTTCAGAGCCGCTGTGCTGCATCTCTTGGCTTCTCCTCTCACTTGAGCTCTGCATGCATCCATATCTTTTTAAACAACTGTAGGCAAAACTGTAATTAACCGAACCACAAACTTTAGCATAGCTCTGAGGCATCCAGTTTTCATTTTTGCTGTTATCTAGCGCAGCAACTTGCAATTTAAGCATTGGAGGGAGCTGCGACGTCACAGCTGCAATGTAATCCACGCTGTTTTCTGCTCATTGAGTCATTTTACTCCCAATGGCTGTTTTCTGCATTAGTATGGAATGACTTACAGAAGATACTCAAAGGATTATTTGCCTTCCGAAGAAGTACTGTGCTTTACAGTGAGGTGATGAGATCGGCTGCTGATAAAAGCACCATAAATACTATTTAATCTTGCAGAAAGTGACCTTGACAAATGTCTCAGTTGCATTTAATCTTTCACAGTGAGGAGAATTTAATTTTGCTCGTGTTTTTGGTGTCGAAGGAAAGAAAACCAGACGAGGAGAGAGGTTCACGCACGATTGGACGTCTGCAACCGTCTGTTTCTAATCCTCTCCTCATTTTGCTTTAAAATTTCCTCAATGAGGATACCATCTGGTCTTGTGTCCAATGGATTGGAAAAAAAAAAAGCCTGGTAGTTGCCACCCACCTCCAACCACTCTCCAGACCTCATAATACTGTCTTCTCATGCAGCTATAGCCTGGTTCCAATACCACCACCCCTCATTAGCTCTCTCTTGCCTCTCAGAAATGCGTATTTTGCCAGTATCCTATTCTATCTTTCAGTCTCCCCCTTCAAAAACAGTCAAGATAGGAGGCTTTCTTCTACCAGTGCATCACGGTTCTTCTGATTGCACCCAGAGGCTCAGGCTTAGAAGGAGCTCAAACAGAAAACTGGATGCAGGGTAAAAGGAAAAGATGCAGGGATTGTTGCACTGAAATAAGTAATGAGCCAGACACAGTCAAGAAAAGAAGTGCATATGGAATGAAAAGGGAAGACGGTACCTCAGAGCAGCTCGTCCCAAAACAACGTAATGATTCAGGTGGAGATCTCACTTTGGGATGTCGAACCCGTGAGATATTTTCACTTAATTGTTCTAAGCAGCTGCAGAAGCATGAAAGTAAAGGTTCTCTTTTCACTGTCATACATTTAGAACCGCAGCATGACCTTTCTGCCTGTGGCATAATTTCCCAGAGCTTAAATCCAGGAGATGACAGAGCAGCAGCATCGAACGCATCACTTTGTAATGATTGACAGAGAGCACATGACAGTGTGGTGCATAATGTACAGCTTCTCAGGCAGAAGGAGATGTTGTGGAAACCGAGCAGTCGTTCAGTCCGCTCTTATTGAATCTGTCATCGCAGCTTTGCAGGTTTCTGAGGAGATTGTCAGACTTTATATCGTCTGCACTAAAAGACTCAATAAGGATGTTAATGGGTCTTTATTGGCTGCGAGGGACAGATGTGCAGCAGCAACGCTCGACAGTTTCAGTCGGTGACACCAGCAGCTACATTTAGATGGTTGATAGACAGAACAACGATTTGTGGTCAATAACCAGTTTAAGTAGCATGTGATGGATTTAGGGAGTCACAGTAACGATCTGGCTGCTGCTGCTCTCTTTACCTTAATGTCTCTACAGCCCAGGTGAGGTTTTTGATATGACAACTGTATTCCCTCACTTAAAAGTTGACATATATACTCAACTAAAAACATGGACTCTACGTAAGAAGCTGTGCCTCTTCAGTGCAGCTCGGCCTAAGATGGTTCTTGGTTCTAATCCCATTAGGCCTTTTCTGTGTAGAGTCTGGACAGTGGGAGGAAACCAGAGTACATGCAAAGACATGCAGATGGACTTCAAACTGTCCGAATGATTGTTTGCCTCTGTATGTTGTAAGCCCGCCTCTCGCCCACCGTCATCTAAGCTCTCCCCGTGACCCTCAAAAGATAAGCAGCATAGATAATGGATGGATGTCATGACTTTAGAACTGTGTGTGTTTCTGGTCTTTGATCGTAGTGGTGAACTCTTTTCTTCTACTGGTGCCCTGGGGGGAAATGTGTTGTGTGCATTTCAGAGCAATATGCAAATAAAGTAATTCATTCTCTCTCTCTCTCTCTCTCTCTCTGTTTGACTTTATAAAGTGGTAAAATGAGTGAATAATTAGTGGAACAATGCTGCTGTGTCTCAAGAGGTCTGCGTAGTTATGAGTTCTCTTGCTTTTTA